CTAAAGTTATTTTGTAATATTTGTGCGTAAGAAAATAAATTTGTTGAAATAAAATTAGGCAAAGAAAACAAAGAATGCAAAATGTCTTTTCTAAAAAAAAAAAAAAGAAAAAAAAAAATACGGATATAACACCGAATTATCACAGTTTCAAATATTTTTGCCAATAAAACAGCTTAAGTAGCTATATAAATTTTATTAAATGTAGGAGTAAATTTTTTTTTTATTAAAAAAAAAAGAAAAAAATCACTGATTTAAAGTTCACATGATACATGATAAATGCTTGTTTAAAATATTTTACAATCGTCAAAAATTGTATACTTCTTTGCAAAATGCAATGAATGATTCAATTTTTCATTTGTTTTATAATTTTTAAAAATTTGTTTATGAAATTTTCAAAACATTGATAATAACTTTCCGAATAAAATGATTATTTTAAATCTTTCCAAAAAGAAGAAAAAAAAGTGATAATGATTTAATTTTTGATAATATACAAATGATAATACTTTTTCAATAGTTTACAACAAACATTTAGTGATAATAAAGAAATCACGGAATGGATATGATAGAAAGAGGAATTGATTCCTTTTTTTTTCTCCAGTATTTTTAATTTTTTTTCTTGTTAATCAATTTTAAAATGAAATTTTCATTTTTTTTTTTTTTTTTTTGCAAATTTGATGATAAATAAAAGAAAAAGAAATTTTGAAATGATTAAATATCATTAAAAAAAATGGTAAATTATGAAACATTTCATGAAATCTTTCGTTCAATAATAACTCTCCTCCTACTGCATTTCTAATTATACATTTTAGCTCATTAAGCTAAAACCTTTGTTAATCTATCAATAAATTAAATACTGTTGAGGAAGTGTAACAGTTGGTGGAATTTTTAGAGCTTAAAATTTCTTAACAGATGTTAGTCATTAACGCAAAGTTGATGAGTTAATCGCTCATTGATAATGGAAGACAAATATCAATTGCCAAAACATTCTTTCGCAAATATTTGTGCAATGTTAATAAGCCAAGTTTAGGATTATTTCGTTAATTATATGCTTTTATTTGGTTTTTTTTTTTTTTAAAAAAAATTTCATTATAATTAAATTAATTTGTGAAATTTAATGAATTTAACTAATCTGATATAAGGATAAATTTTATGGAAGTAAAAAAAATTTTTTTTCTAAGCATAAACATATCGTTTTAATAAATGTAAACTAAATTTACTGATTAAAATATTAACGCTTACAGAAAATTGTTCCATCGTTTACCGATCGATCAGAGATGATAAAACAATTGGCAGTTTAAAGTAACGATGATATGAATGATGTGCAATGTCTTCCTCATTCCATTAATTCTCCTGAAATTGTTTTGAGTTTTATGAAAGGAATTTCGAAAAAATATCACTGATAAAAAGAATCGGTAAATGAAGTCAAATAAATAATACCAAATGGAAATGAAAATAATCTGTAAAATTGCTCTAAACAAATCTACTAACAAAAAAAAAAAAAAAATAGAAAAACTATTATTGGAAAAGTACGATGATGATGAAAACGATGATGATGATGATAGTGATGATGATGAAGATAATAATAAAAATAATGATCTGATAGGGTGATGTTGATGATGATGATGATAATGATAATGGTGACAAACGTAAGGATATTTACACGATGATAACAATGATGAAGATAATTAATGGTAAGGATAATGATCTGGTAGGGTAATGATAATAATAGTGATAATGATGATAGCAATAACGATATTTCACACGATGGTGACGGCGATAATGATGAAGATAACAATAAGGATAATGATTATATCGTTGATTTCAGGATGATGATGATGTTGAATAATAAAAATGACACTTTGATTCACAATGTTTT